GTAGCTAAAAGGAGAGTGAATAAAGTTTACTGAAGTAGATTTTACAGAAAAGTGTTTTGACAACTGAAGATATCTTAATGTTAAAATAGTATTTTATTAAACGTTATAAGATACTGATCCTGAATGAGTACAACATTTAGACATAGATGGTTAATACAGCACAAAGTTTGTAGAAGTAGTAAAAAAAAAACAGAGGAAGCTGTGAACAGAAGAGGGAAACAATAGAGTGAGTGTAAAATCAGCATCCACACTATTAGATTATGTGTCCCTGAACTAAASGCTGCACATTCAATTAATGCAGCTGAAATCTCCTCTCAGACAGGAGTGTGGGGGGATTTTGCTGCATAGTCGTATATCAAAGCACAAAGAGTGGGAGAGGAACCTGTCGTGAGCCGGTTCAGTTCTGTTACTGTGTTCACTCTTTCCTCTTGTTGAGATAGAGACAAAAATCTGTTTAAAGCTTTACAAACACAAGAGTCTTTTAACRAGACGCTTCATCTTGCTGCTGTTTGCTTTAGTTAGGAGAGGGTTAGATCCAGAGTGCTGGATGTTGATTCAGCCAGTTTGTGAAGCCCAACTGCCCATCAGTCTTTTTTTTTTTTACATTTAAACATCTGTCAACCAGGCAGATGAATGTGATTTAATGTTGACAAGTCTTACAAGTTACTGGATCAATCTTGTGTCGGACGGCTACGAGTTCARCCAGAGTTCACATTGTTAGTATCACCGACCTTTCATGCTCTCAGATCTCACACAGATCCAAAGGGCTTCGTGGGGTATGCTATCATCAGCCAATTAACGCTCACGAGAACAACCGCTCTGCCGGAAATCTTCAAGCTAAGCATTTTTCACAGCTAAAGGCCTCGTTTTATGTAACCACACCAGTTCTGTTATGGTTTTGCAACGAGCACCCTCCAAATTGCGCAACATCAGTCACAGAAGTKACCTTGAACTGCTTGAGCAAAGAGGGATCTCTAGGACCCTCCCACCCAACGCTGTTAGCCGACCACAGTCAAACACAGGAGAGGGGATCTTAAGAAGTTTTGGCTTTAGATGAAATCTTTCAGACAATGAATGCATTTCAGGCMTTCATCCAGCAGAATAACTTAAGATGATGAACAACTTTTGATCTATCTGTCCATGCATTTTCTTTGTCTCCTCGCTTCTGGGTCGTGGGGGGAGCTGGGGCCCGTCTGCAGCAGTCACTGTGAGAACATATGAAGATAGAAACAGGGACACACAGACAAATATGTATTTGTTTTGAACAGGGGTTTACAACCTTTTTTTTCCCTTAAGAGCTGCTTTTACAAAATGAAATTGTCCAAGAGCTACTGTTGGCAACATTTAATTTTAAACTTAAACTCAAACCACTGGAATAAGGTTGTTTTGCTTGAACATACACAAAAAAACTTTGTCTTCAACTCACATGAAACCATCACAAAGAACAATGAATTTACATGAATGTGCTTTTTGTGTTTATATTATAGTGTATTTCACACTACGATTTTAGGGTTTAACTGGGACAGATTTGTGCACAAATAAYGTCGGGTGACAGGTCTCAGACTTTTTTTCAGCATTGTAGACTCCAGCAGGAAGAAACCCCGTGCAGTGACGTATGCAGTGGGCAGGGTCTCCCAGTAGCTCAGCATGGTGTATCTCAAGGAGATATGAAAAGTGTGTGTGAAAACAAACGCCGAACAACCATGTGACCGCACATCACCCGGTCGGCTGCCRTTCAACCATACCGAGCCCTAGATTKTCTGATTGACAACCAAGGGGGAGGGACATCKATGGACTGACTGGATATAAATGAAAGTTTGTTTGGCCGGTGACAAATGAAATGTTGCTACTAATTTTTCATAAGCACTGAAGAGCTACTTTAAAGGCACAGTGTGTCGGATTTGTTGTTTTCAGCGATATCTAGTGGTTGAATCAATCATCCTCCCTGGTCCTCCCCCCACCCCCACCCCCCGCTTCCAAACACAAAGGAGTTGCTACGGTGTCTCTCAGGTGTCAAAAACCTTTGATAATTCCAACCGCGATGTCTACCAGCAGCTTCAGGGCTAGTGATGTTTCAAGTGGTAAGATTATGAGCTTTAATAAGTTTTCTCATTATAACGAGATATTTTCGTCGTTATAACGAGATCCAGTTAAAAGAATATTTCATATCATGTGGCAGCTCTACGCTTCCGTAATTACGACTATGCAAGTCAGCGAT